TTTAGTAGAGACGGGGTTTCACCTTGTTGACCAGGATGGTCTTGATCTCTTGACCTCATGATCCACCCGCCTCGGCCTCCCAAAGTGCTGGGATTACAGGCGTGAGCCACCGCGCCTGGCCAATTCTCTTTACTTCTACAGAGCTGTACACTCTCAACATAAATAAGAATTAAAAACACACAAAACACACAGATACATATATGCATACACATATATTTAAAATACACAAAAATATTAGCATATAAGTCATTAGAGGGTAAATTTAGTTCCTGTTGCAAGGTTCTTGTACTGACTAGGAAGAGGATAGAAGTATTAACTCAGAGGCTAGGTGCAGTGGCTCGTGCCTGTAATCCCAACACTTTGGGATGCTGAGGCAGGTGGATCTCTTAAGGTCAGGAGTTCAAAACCAGCCTGGCCAACATGGTGAAACCTTGTCTCTACTAAATAAATAAATAAAATAAAATAAAAAATAAATTAAAAAAAGGCTGGGCGCGGTGGCTCATGCCTATAATCCCAGCATTTTGGGAGGCCAAGGTGGGCAGATCCCTTGAAGTCAGGAGTTCAAGACCAACCTGACCAACATGGTGAAACCCTGACTCTATTAAAAAAAAAAAAATTAGCCAGGCGTAGTGGTGCACGCCTGTGGGCCTAGCTACTCAGGAGACTGAGGCAGGAGAACTGCTTGAACCCAGAAGCAGAGGTTACAGTGACCCGAGATTGCTCCGCTGTACTCCAGCCTGGGCAGAAGAGCGAGACTTCCTCTGTCTAAAGAAAAAAAAAAGTACTAACTCATGGTAGGCTTTGATAAGTGAAGGATGCATGTTGTAAGCTACTATCATAAAATAACTCCAGACTGCGCAGTTACAAAACTAATAGAGTGGGAGGAAATTGAATAATAAAAATAATAAATGCAAAACAAGATGTAAGAGGAGATAAGAAGAAACAGAATAGGCACAGAAAACAGATTGGTGGTGGCTTTCAACCCAAATAAATTGGTAACAGCCTCACTCTGTCTCCCAGGCTGCTTGCAGTGATGTGATCTTGGCTCACAGCAATCACTGCCTTCTAGGCTCAAGTGATTCTCCCATCTCAGCCTCCCAAGTAGCTGGTACTATACGTGTGCCAACTTAGAATTATATTAGCCACACTCGGCTAATTTTCATATTTTTTTGTAGAGGCAGGGTCTCGCCAAGTTGCCCAGGCTGGTCTTGAACTCCTGGGCTTCATCGATCCACCCACCTCTACCTCCCAAAGTGCCCAGCATAAGTATTTTTAATGAAGTAGACTTTAAGAAGAAAAGTATTATTAGAGATAAGAGGCACATCATTGAAAAGAAGTTACTAGCAGCCGGGTGTGGTGGCTCACACCTGTAATCCCGGCACTTTGGGAGGCCGAGGCGAGCAGATCACCTGAGGTTGGGAGTATGAGACCAGCCCTTGCAACATGTCAAGACCCCGTCTCTACTAAAAATACAAAAATTAGCTGGGCATGGTGGTGGGAGCCTGTAATTCCAGCTATTAGGGAGGCTGAGGGAGGAGAATCGCTTGAACCCCGGAGGCAGAGGTTGTGATGAGCCGAGATGGTGCCATTGTTCTCCAGCCTGGGCAACAAAAGCGAAACTCAGTCTCAGAAAAAATAAAAAAAAGTTACTAGCTAGTTTCAGAATTAACATCCAGGAAACTGGAGGTAAAAGTTTTTTTAGAGAAACTAAACCAATAGGTTATACATAGACAGAGAGAGATTTATTTTAGGAATTGGCTCATGTGATTGTGGGGACTAGCAAGTTTAAAATCTATAGGGCAAGCCAGCAGGCTGTAAATTCAGGTAAGAGCTGATCTTGAAGGCTAGAAGCTAAAATCTGTAGAGCAGTCAGCAGGCCAGACGCCCAGGCAGGACATCTGTGTTACCATCTTGAAGCAGAATTCCTGCTTCTCTAGGAAACCTCGGTTTTTGCTCTTAAGGCCTTCAACTGATTGGATGTGGCCCACTCATATGAAGGGGGGGTAATCTGCTTTACTTGAAATCAACTGTCAGTGTTAATCACATCTATGAAATAACCTCCAGTAAGATATTGACAAGCATTTGACCAAATAACGGAGCACCATAGATTAGCCAAGTTGACTGACACATAAATTAACCATCAGGAGCGAATAGAATGTCCAAAAAAACAAAATACTAGGGGTACTATATCTTATATAGCTATCATATTTATGTAAAACATATAACTATAGAATGAAGATGTTAAGATAACCATTAGAACAAAAATATAAACTTTTTTTTTTGAAACCAAGTCTTGCTCTGTCACCCAGGCTGAAGTGCAGTGGTGCAATATTGGCTCACTGCAACCTATGCCTCTTGGGTTCAAGAGATTCTCCTGCCTCAACTTCTAGAGTAGCTGGAATTGCAGGTACCCGCCACCATGCCTGGCTAATTTTTGTATTTTTAGTAGAGGCAGGGTTTCACCTTGTTGGCCAGGTTTGTCTCAAACTCCTGACCTCAAGTGATCCACCCACCTCGGCCTCACAAAGTACTGGGATTATATGCGTGAGCCACCGCGTTCAGCCAAAAATCACCTTTTTTTACAAAGATCAAAACAGACATTATGCTGGAGATGAGATACCTCACTGTCACTGTGCTCCTTTTGTGTGTCTACTAGGCACAGTGCTGGGTCCAGACTCACATAAGCCTTAGGGACCCACACCCAGGGGCTCTGGCTATAGCAGAATCCAAAGAATAAAACTGGTGCTGATAGAGTAGGAGACAGGGCCAGACACGGTGGCTCATGCCAGTAATCCCAGCACTTTGGGAGGCCGAGGTGGGCAGATCATGAGGTCAACAGATCAAGACCATCCTGGCCAACATGGCGAAGCCTGATCTCTACTGAAAATTCAAAAATTGCCGGGCGTGGTGGCACACTAAGTTTGGCATCAATATGATGGCCTCCCGGGAGTGGGGGACCACCAGGTTGCCTAAAGAGGGGTGAACCTGCCCAGGTCTGAAACGGAGCAGGTCTCAAAACTCCCATGATGATCAGTAGTGGGATCGCACCTGTGAATAGCCACTGCACTCCAGCCTGGGCAACATAGCGCAATCCTGTCTCTAAAAAAATAAATAAATAAAAATTTAAAAATTTTTTAAAAATTAAAAAATTAGCTGGGTGTGGTGGCGTGTGCCTGTAGTCCCAGCTACGTGGGAGGCTGAGGCAGAAGAATCGCTAGAAGCCGGGATTCAGAGGTTGCAGTGAGCCAAGATCGTGCCACTGCACTCCAGCCTGGTGACAGAGCCCGACTGCGTCTCAAAACAAACAAAAAAAAGAGTAGGAGACTGGACTCTGGGAGGGCCTGCTAGTGAGAGGTAAGCACAGAGGGGAGAGATGGAACTAGGAGCACGGGCTTCTGGTGGCCCCAGCAGACCCTGCGGCAGCATGGCCAGCGGCCCCTGCAAGGAGGCATCTTGGCCAGGAGGACGCTGCAGCAGGCCTCTTGCTGAGGCCGGTAGCCAGCCTGGCCAGGGTCCCAGAGTCCAGTGACCCCTGTTCTGCAGCAGCAGCTGGGGCCAGACCCAGGCTCTCTTCCACTCCCTGTTTCTTTAAACAGGAAGTGGAGAGAGTCGTTTGACAAAACACTGTTGCAAACCACATCCTATCTCTTCACCAAGGGAGAATTGGAGGGAGTATGGGTGGAGGAAGCATTAGAGCAGAGATCCCTACTCAACCACTGACCCTCACGCACACAGCAGGACCTGGGAGACCCCCAAACAGTCACTCTGGGAGGCATAGCTGGTCCAGACTCCACTGGGAGATCTGTGGTAGCAGGTCCCCATTCCTAAAGGCCACGTGCCCACGGGTGGTCTCTGGTGCCTGAGACCTCAGTCTCATTTGCATCTTTGTGACTTCAAGTTTATGTGGGTGCCGAATTTCTGTATGTCCTCCTGAGCAGAGACGGAGCACTGCCCGGGGTGGCCACTGACGTCAATCCCTCGAATCCCCTGGGAGCCACTGGGGAGGCCAAGCTGTCACCAGCCCCCACTTGTCCCTGAGCTGCCATTCTCAGCCCTGTGGAAGGAGGCAGAAAGCCCTGAAGATAAACCGACGGACCAGGTCACGAGGGGCTGGAGGGCGGCAGAGCAATCAGGGCAGGGAAGGATGGACAGACGGGGGAATGGAGGGAGGAAGGAACGAATGAAAAGGTGAATGAATGAACAAAGAGAGAGAACAGCCTCCTTTGCTTGAGTGCTGTTCCCTTCAGTTTACAAAGCACTGGAACCCTTCCAATAGCCTGCAAGACAGAACTTCTGGGAAGCAGACCAGGTGGCTGGCAGGGAGGGGCTGCTTGCCGTAGCTTTTGTGGGCCCAGTGGGAGGCTGGGGGCAGGAAGGGGCATCCTGTGTGTTCCCGCTCTGCAACGGCAACAGCGGAGGCCTCACTTGGGCTGGGCTTCCTGGAAGAGGTCGGGAAATCCCCGCTGTCCAGGGCACCAAGTATCAGTCACTCAGCTCACGGGACCCAGGCCCTGACTCAGGGAGAGGGGATGTGAGGGGTGGGGTGCTGGGTATCCCAGGACTGAGAGATCGTGTGACCCCAGCAGTCCAGTACCTGCACAGAGATCCTCTGAACTCCTTCACCTATGACCTTGGGAGAAGACCCCAGCCTTGGAGAACTGGAGGGGCCTGTACCAGCTAGCAGGGTCAGGCGGGAACAGACTGGTTCCCAAATGGGATATGCAAATGGGCCTTCTGAACCCTGGAGCCAGGCATAGACTCACACACCACCATTGTCCCTAAATCCCCATCTGCCCTACAGGCACACCCTGCCACCTGTTCTGTGCAAAGGTCCTGAGGCTGCCTCCTTGTGCCCAAGCCCTGCAGGTGGTAGCCACATGGCTTTTGCTTCCTGGGCCAATGTACGTACACACACACACACACACACAAACACACACATGTCTTCTCCAGGAGGGGCTGGCTGCCAACGGCCACTCAGCTCCCTTCCACCTCTCACTCACCGTCCAATATCTGAGCAGATCTTGGAATCAGCAGCAACAGCAGCGTGGGCAAAAGCCTGGGGGCCACAGGGGAACTGGTGGCCAGAGAGGACTACAGCCAACACAATGACAGCCAGCGCCAGCCCCAGCCCCAGCAGGGCCAGACCGACTGTGGCGCCGCAGCCCCGTGCCATGGCTCCGCAGCCCAGGAGGAGAGGGGAGGCCAGTGGGCAGACAGAGGGACAGATGGGTGGGCAGATGAAGGGACAAGAAGATGCACAGATAGACTCGCAGGTAATTGGACAGTTGGACAAACAGGTGGGGCTGGAGACAGACACGAAGATGGACTGACAGACAGTCCAGATAGCTGGACAGAGAGGACAGTAAGAGAAAGATGGTCAGATAGAGTCGGGCTTACAGAATGGGGACAGCTGGACAGAGATGATAGTAAGAGAAAGATGGTCAGATACAGTCAGGCTTACAGAATGGGGACAGTTAGACAGGTCTGAACCGCGGGCTGCCAGATGGACAGATGGGTGAACGGATAGGTGGCTGGTGGCCGGCAGCTGTGGCGAGCTGCTGCCTTCCCCAAGTGCACGCTACGGAGTGGCTGAACTCACGCCTCAACTTCCAGTTTTCAGTTCATGCTTGATTCCTGGCAGGAGGCCAGTCAGCAAAGCCCCAGTCAGAGGGGAGATTTCCTTGCCTAGTGAAGCCAGCTGCTGTGTTAACGCCCCCACTGGTGGTGGGTCCCGAGGCCCCGCCTGCTACCCGCCAGAGCCCAGGGCCACATTGTCCCAATGTGCTTGAGAAGTGCCTGCAGCACTGCGGTCTAGGTGGGGGCAGGGCTCCCAAGAACCTCCACACCATTCCCTGGGTTCCCGGCAGCTCCCTGGAAAGCAGAGCAACTCTCTCCCCACGAACCGGCCAGGCTGCCCCCCTCCCAGAGTGGAGCCCCACCCCCAGCTCCCACTAACCCTCTCTGCATGGCCCTAACCCTCTCTATCCCTAACCCTCTCTGCATGGCCCAGCCCAGGCAGTGTCAAGGCAGAGCTGAACAGAGGGAGAGGGAGAGGGAAAGGGACCCAAGGTGGTATCACTCAGGACCTGGGTTCAAGTCTCTATGCTTCTGCAGCCTGGCCTGGGTCCCCCAGTTCCCCAGTGTGACCAAGGGCTTCCCAGTCTGCACAGAGAACAGGCAGACTTGAGAGCACCAGATGCTGATGACTACAAGATGCTCATGTGGGGAATGCAGACACCTTTCCTCTAGCCCTTGGCACCGGGACCATCCATGCCTGGGACTTGCTGTCCTGGAAATGCAGCATGGGCCTCCAGGGAGGGAGGCTGAGCCACCACACCCCGCCTGCAACTCTCCCCCACCCTGGCTGCGAGTCTGCTTTCCTGAATCCAAATCCGCTATTACAGTGTCCCCTCCTCCCTGGGCACACTGGCCTGGCCCTGTCCTCCCCAGGCCTCAGGATGCTTAACTGAGAGGCAACCAGGAGAGTGAGAACCCACTGAGGGGCTCCGTTGACCAGGCTTAGCCTGGGTGCAGGTGATGTGGGCTGGACACCTTCCCACACAGCTCCCCCAGTCCTCCCCACTTCCTTTCCAGCTGAGCACTGCCGGCTCCAGATGTCTACACCTGGAATCAGAGCCCTCAACCTGGACATCAGAGAAGCTGAGGCGCGGAGACAGACTGTGTCCTTACAGGCCACACAGCCTGCCAGGCCCCTATGTCCAGCCAAAGCCCCTGGTCAGCCTGGGTCAGAGTGGTTGTTTAGAGGCAGGCTGTTCCCACGGCTGCCTCTCACAGTAGGGGGCCTGTGGATGCCTCCTCCCACCCCACCCGACTCACAAGCCTCAGTGACATTGTTCAATCAGGAGCCAAAGCACATTCCTGGGCCCAGGCCAGGCCACCCACCCACCCACTGCAGCCCTCGAAGCCCAGAGGCCAGGACAGCAGGGACAGTGGCGACAGCAGCTTGGGGGATGCCCCCACTCCTCTCCCCACCATCCTGGGCAGGCAGAGGCCAGGGTGCAAGGACTGCTTGAGCAAAGGCCCAGGGAAAGGAATGGGTGTCATTCTGGTCCTGACTAGAGGCACAGCGAGGGACATCCCTGAAGTCCTTACTCAGGAAATGATGGGGGCAGGGGCGATGAGAAGGAAAGAGAGGATTTAAGCCCCCCACTCCCCAAGGTAGTCCTGGGCTGAGCCCCATGAGACCTGGAGAACCATGGTATGCCCCATCGGTGTGTCGGGTCCTGGAGGCCTCGTGGCCAGCTCTGACTTCTCTTGCTGCTGCACAAGCCAGAGCAAGGCCTGCCCCTCCAGCCTCAGTCTTCTCCCTGCAAATGGGGCCACAGCCTTTCCTCTCAGGCAAAAATAAGAATTGAGACCGGGCGCTATAATCCTAGCACTTTGGCAGGCCGAGATGGAAGGACTGCTTGAAGTCAGGAGTTTAAGACCAGCCTGGTCAATAGAATGAGACCCCATCTCTATTTGTTTAAATAAATTTTTTTTTTTTTTTGAGACAGAGTTTTGCTCTTGTTACCCAGGCTGGAGTGCAATGGCTCGATCTCGGCTCACCGCAACCTCCGCCTCCTGGGTTCAGGCAATTCTCCTGCCTCAGCCTCCTGAGTAGCTGGGACTACAGGCACGTGCCACCATGCCCACCTAATTTTTTGTATTTTTAGTAGGGACGGGGTTTCACCATGTTGACCAGGATGGTCTCGATCTCTTGACCTCGTGATCCACCCGCCTCGGCCTCCCAAAGTGCTGGGATTACAGGCTTGAGTCACCGCGCCTGGCTGTTTAAATAATTTTTTTTTTTAATTACATAGGCCAGGTGCAGTGGCTCACACCTGTAATCCCAGTACTTTAGGAAGCTGAGGCAGGCAAATCATTTGAGGTCAGGGGTTCAAGACCAGCCTGGCCAACATAGTGAAATCACAACTGTCATAAAAATTTAAAAGAATTAGCCAGGCATGGTGGCGGACACCTGTAATCCCAGCTACTCAGGAGGCTGAGGCAGGAGAATTGCTTGAACCCAGGAGGCGGAGGTTGCAATTAGCTAAGATCATGCCACTGCACCCCACCCTGGACAACTGAGACTTTGTCTCAAAAAAAAATTAAGTAAATAAGGATTGAGGAGTCACTTGTACACCAGTTAAGCCCACCTCCATCTCACCCCTGGGGAGTCCCAGAGGCAGAACCCTCCAGGGCTCAGACCCAGTGGAACTCTCCTTGGCAGGCACAAAACCCTGTTTGCCTGTGGGCCCTTTGCAGTCACCAGGTTTTCAGGCTCCTGAACAAGAGCCATGATGTGGTCCCTGGCCCCAGTGCCCCTGGCGATATCCAGGTGCTGGGCTGTGACCACCACCCCTCACCAGCCCACCTCCACCAGCCTTGCCCAGAACCCCTCCCCAGTGTTGGAAAACGTGTGTGCAGAGGACAAGGGAGGAAGGCCTGGCGGGGCTGCCGATGGTGAAGGCCACCGTGTCTAGCTGATCCCTTCAAGACCCACTCCCTCTGGGCTGTATCCCCAGCTGGGCCAAGCCCTGATCCCTGGGATCTGGGGACCTCTTCCAGTTTGCTGTTCCCTGAGAAACAGGCCTCCCTCTGGAGAGAATCACAAGCTTGGGTTTCATTCTGGGCTTGCACTTGGAAAGCACCCCCCTCCAAGGGCTTGGCTCTGACTGGGATGTTTTGCTTCAGCCTCTTGCCCAATCCCCACTCCTCAGACCTCAGCTTCACCTCCCTGTGTCCTCGGCAGGGTTAGCTGGACGCCCGCGGGTCTGAGAAGGCGCCCGGGGTTCCTGGCAACAGCTGGCCACCCTCTGCCTAAGTGCTAGGGTCGTGGCGCACTCTGGTGGCTGATCCTAGGTAGTGTCGCTGCCCAGCCCCAGGAAGGGAGGGCCTGTCCCCAAGTCTTAGTGCTCAGGGTTGGGTGGGGCAGGGCTTGGCGCAGACCTGCCCCCGGCCCCCAGCCATGCGCCTGGCTCTCCCCGTGCTGAAGATGCTGAAGCTCGTTCCAGCGCCTGCAGTGTGAAGATCTCTGAATCCCACCTCTCCGTTCCTCCCCAGCCAGATGGCTCCATTTTACACACAGGACAGAGGCCCAGAGAGTGGGGAGCCAGACCAGGGAGGCTGCCTGAAGCCTGGCACAGCAGCCTCATTTATTGTATTGCTCTGCTGCTCACAGGGGAGGCACATCCCCCAAAGTCCCCTTCCTGGCCCTGGTGAGTATCTTGTCCCTGGATTGCTGGTGGGACTTGTCTGCCCCGAGCACTCAGTAGCCAGCAGGCTCCCCGCCTTTCCTGGAGTCTGAGGCAGCTGCCCAGCCATCAGCCGTGCGGACGATGGCCTGCACCACAGCGATGAAGGAGGACGCGATCTTGGTGTGATGATGCCGGGCCTCCAGGGCTGCAGTCACTACCTGGGGGTGGGAGGAGAGGGGAGGCCTGAGCAGTGTTCCATATGCCACCTGAACCATGCCTGTGGTCACAGGCCTCAGCCCAGGTGGTGCTATTTGGGGTCAGGAGATCAAGAAGAGCAGGGGTCTCGTTGGAGCAGGTGGCTTGGCCTTCATGGCACAGGAGCTCCAGATGGCCCAGGTACCAGACAGAGGACACCAACCATTGTCCGCTCTATGATGATCCAGGCCTCCAGCCCAGGATGCACTGTGGCCCCACACCGTGACTCAGTTTCCCCAACCCCCGGCCCACCTGGTCAATGTTTCTCTCCACTGTCGTGACGTTGGGCAGAAGCTGGTTGTGCAGCCGGGGCTCCTCCACAGCTCGCTTCACGTCATAGCCGAACCAGAGGTGGTAGATGATGGCCTGGGGCATGGGGGTGTGAGCAGCATGGCCTAGGGGCTGGGCGGGGTTGGGTGGGGCAGGCAACACCAGGGAGGGAAGGGGCGACACATACCAGTGCCGTGGCCGTGGTGATCTGTGTACCCCCAGAAGCTCCCACCACCATCCGGACCTGGCCGTCCTTGCCCACCATGATCGTCGGGCACATGGATGAGAGTGGTTGCTTCCCTGCAGCCGACGGGAGAAGACAGGGATGCCGGTCAGCTGCCTGCCCAGACACCTGTCCCTCTCCACCCCAGTCCCCCACCCCCAGACCTCCACCCCTTACCTGGATGAATGAAATTTGTGGGTGAGGGGGGCACCCCAAACTCGTTGATGATGTTGGGAGAGCTGAAGTCGTCCATTTCATCATTGAACAGAATGCCGCTGACCGGGGAGCGGACCTTGGAGCCAAAGCTACAGCCCAGCCAGGTCAGATAGTGACCAGCCTCGCTCGGCCCAGCCTGGTCCCATCCACCTACTGAGGCTCAAACATACTTCCTGTGAGACCCAGAGCAAGCTACCAAGGCAGGGCCTGTTTCCCACCAGGACAAAAGGTGATGGAGTCACCTTCCTGGATAAGCGGGCAGTCTCTGGGCCACCCGCCCCTGGCCCTGCCCCACCCCGGCGGCCCAGCAGCCCCTACTAGAGGTTGATGGTGCTGGTGGCAGACACAGCACTGCCGTCCTCTGCGATGACAGACAAGTGGGCAGTGCCCCCGTCATCCGGCGTGTAGAACTCGGGCTCGTAGTAAGAGGTCAGGTGGGTGGTGTCGTCAGAGATCTGAGCCCGGAGCCGGGCGGCGAAGAACTCGGAGGTCATGTTGTGGACCACCTGCCGAGACCCCAGAGCTGGCCTGAGGAGGTGAGGAGGGAGGGTGCGGAGGGGGCACAGGGCTGTGCAAGCAGGTCTCAGAAGGCCCCCAACTGTGACTCTGACCACAACCCTCCGGCACCCACAGGCTTCTGTGTCTCCCCAGGGCCCAAGCGCAGGCCCAGCCACCTTGTGTGACACATATGACTCCCTGTCTCCAGCCCCAGTGTCGAGTTCCAGCAACTCTGAATGTCTGTCTGCCTGGCCCTCAGCCTCAAGACCTTTAGTGCATTCAATCAGTTGTTCATTCACGCAGATGTTTCTAGAGCTTGCATTGCATGCCTGGCACTGGGGAATCAACAGGGAACAGACACTTAGGTCCCCGCCCTCATGCCAGAAAAAACAAATGCACATGGGGAAAGTGCTGAAACCACAAGCCAGGTAAGGGGAATGGAAAGGCACAGGTATGGACAGAGTGGTCAGGGAGGGCTTCTCGGAGGAGGCAATGTCTGAGAAGAGCCTGAAATGCAGCTTAAATGGTCAGTGCACGGTAAGGGGAATGCAGAAGCATGAGGTATGGACAGAGTGGTCAGGGAAGGCTTCTCAGAGGAGGCAATGTCTGAAAAGAGCCTGGAATGCAGCCTCAATAGTCAGCACAAAGGCCCTGAGGCAGGTGGTATAGGCTGGTGATTGATAGGCAGAGTGTGAATGGGATGAAGGGGAGAAGAGGATGCAGATGCAGGCTGGGGCCCATCCCACAGGACCTCCTAGGTCCCATAAGGACTTTGGGTTTTGCTCTGTGCCACACAGGCTTAGGGCACAGGGTGAGCAGTCTGGGGAATGTTTTCACAGGGTCCCTCTGGTGGCTGTGAGGGGGATAAGGATAAAGTCCAAAGGCTGCGGGTGTCAACCAGGCGAGAGATGATGGCTTGCCCTGGGTAGGACAAAGAGAAGAATCAAGGATGGCCCCGACTAGGGAGGTAAACCCCGCAGAAGGGGCAGGTGTGGGGACGGTCAGGAGCTTGATTCTGGTTACTTCATCAGACCTGAAAAGCATGGGTGCCCAGATAAGCATGGCCTACGTGTGTGGGCAAGGGCGGGCTGAGAGATGAACATGGAGGTATTGACATTGAGTGGCTGCTGAATGCCACGAGCCTGGCCAGGGTCTTCAAGGCAGTGGTGAGGGCTGACCAAGAGGAGAGGAGGAGGTGAAGGGGGCAGACAGGACGGGCCTAAAGAGAGTGCCTCAAGAGAGTTTCAGCAACAGCCCACAGACTAGCTGGCCAACGCCAGGGAAAGATGTTCTGTCTGAATCTGCTCCCAAGGAAACAGAAAGGCAAGTCCAGGACATGAGACATTTTCCAAGACGACTGCCTCGGCTTTAAAAATCAACAAAACAGGCTGAGAAGGCCGGGCACAGTGGCTCACGCCTGTAATCCCAGCACTTTGGGAGGCCAAGGCGGGCGGATCACCTGAGGTCGGGAGTTTGAGACCAGTCTGACCAACATGGAGGAACCCCGTCTCTACCAAAAATACAAAATTAGCCAGGTATGGTGGCTCAGGCCTGTAATCCCAGCTACTTGGGAGGTTGAAGCAGGAGAATCGTTTGAACCTGGGAGGCAGAGATTGCAGTGAGCCAAGATCGCACAGCCTGGGCAACAGAGTGAAACTCGATCTCAAAAAAAAAAAAAAAAAACAGTCTGAGTGTGGTGGTTCACACTTGTAATCCCAGCACTTTGGGAGGCTAAGCCCAGGAGTTTGGGATTTGAGCCCAGGAGTTTGAGACCAGCCTGGGCAACATGGCAAGCCCCTGACACTAAAAAAAAGTACAAAAATTAGCCAGGTGTGGGGGCATGTGCCTGTGGTCCCAGCTGCTCAGGGGGCTGAAGTGGGAGGATTTCTTGAGCCCTGGGGGTTGAGGCTGCAGCTGAGATCACGCCACTGCACTCCAACCTGGATGACAGAGACAAAACAGCCGAGGGCGCCTACTGTAGGTAAAGAGAAGGGACACAGATGTGTCACCCGGATATCCTGCTGTGGTATGTTCAAGTCGTCACTCTTGGCAGACACACCCTGAAGTGTGACATCAGCAACCTGTCTAATCACTCAGAGAAAACACGAATACCAGTAGATGTGGGTAGAGACAGACAGTAAGGAATCTGGCAGAAACGTCCATACTGCACACTCCAGAGAAAGGGAATGGTGACACCTGGGTGGTCTGTTTGTTTGTTTTATATTTGTGTAAGTGTGAGAATTTGCAAGAGGAAAACATGAGGAGAGTGTGGTGAGCTATGTGAGATGCTGCTGATGGGGAAACTGAGGCTGGACATGGCGATCTGGTGGTATGGGGATAGAGCAGGAGGCGTTAGCCTGAAGGGAGAGAGGACGTAGCCCGGCCATGTTTGCTCTGAGAGGAGCAGAGGACAGAAGGCGGCAGGAGATGGAAGTTTCTGGAGCAACAACAGCTGCCTTTCTTTCAGGAATGATTCATTATAAAGGTGTAAATGCCAGACGAGGTGGCTCACACCTGTAATCCCAGCACTTTGAGAGGCCGAGGCAGGTGGATCACCTGAGATCAGGAGTTCGAGACCAGGCTGGCCAAGATGGTGAAACCTCATCTCTACTAAAAATATAAAAGATTAGCCAGACGTGGTGGCACACACCTGTAGTCCCAGCTACTTGGAAGGCTGAGGGAGGAGAATTGCTCAAATGTGGGAGGTGTAGTTTGCAGTGAGCTGAGATCATGACACTGCACTCCAGCCTGGGCAACAGAGTGAGACTCTGTCTCAAAAAAATAAAAAATAAAAAAAATTATAAAGGGGAAAATGGCCAGAGGCAGAGAGGAGCATTGCAGGAACAGCACACTGAGCCAGTGAGTGGATAAAAGAGCTGACTTTAGCCAAAAGGGAGGGCAGGGGACACGCTGTAGTGCCCTGTCCCCTCAGAGAGACAAGACACCAGGTCACTGGCTGCAGGGGAGTCAGAGGTTCAGAATGCTCACAGGGAAAGACAAGACACGTCCCGGGCAGCTGATGCCCCTCCTGGGAGGTCACAGGTCAGTGTGGGGGGGTATGCAGGTCTGCCTGGGAATGCCAAGGACCTGACTAAGTAAGGAGGGGTGTGAGGATCCTCAGTGGGAAGGGATATGGCAGAGGTCTCATAGGGACCCAGCATGGAGCTGGGGCACCTAGTAAGTACATGGGTCAGGCAGTACAGGGCTGAGGGTGGCATCTGTCTCACTCTGTCACCCAGGCTGGAATGCAGTGGTGTGATCTCAGCTCACTACAACCTCCGCCTCCCAGGTTCAAGCAATTCTCTGTCTCGGCCTCCTGAGTAACTGGGATTACAGGTGTGCACCACCACATCCGGCTAATTTTTGTATTTTTAGTAAAGACGGAGTTTCACCATCTTGGCCAGGCTGGTCTTGAACTCCTGACCTCGTGATCCATCTGCCTCAGCCTCCCAAAGTGCTGGGATCACAGGCGTGGGCCACCGCACCTGGCTTTGCCCATCCTTCTCATCATGCCGGAGGGCTGCAGTGCCCCCTATTTTCCTCACTTCAGCACTGAGCACTCAAGACCCACAGCATGGGCAAAGGCCCTGAGGTAGGAATGTAGCCACTGACTACCCAAACTGTGAGTTCTGTGGGGCAGAGGCCAAGACTGGGGGTCACCCACCAATCCATCCCAGCACACAGTAGGTCCGCAATCAAAGTTTGTGGCAGGAATGGATTCATAAAGCATGTGAGGCTGCAGCAGCCCTGGGAGGCCCAGCTGGTACCTCTACAGCAGGCCCCTCCCCTTACCTTAGTTATATTCACAAACTTGGGGTCCCCAAGCAGCGTCCTCTTGGCGTAGGCAAACCGGAAAGCCTCTACGATGCGGTGGTACGTCAGGCCCTTCTGCTCAGGGGTCTCCACGCTCGCCCGGGAGAAATTGTACCCTGGTTGATGAGAGCCAGGTGCACGTTGGTGATCCCCAGGGCTCAGAGGGCCTCAGATGGTTAACAGCTCCCTCAGCCACTTTGCCCACCTCAAGGAGCATTTTTTTTTTTTTTTGAGGTAGAGTCTCACTCTTTTGCCCAGGTTGGAGTGCAGTGGTACGACCTTGGCTCACTGCAACCTCTGCCTCCCATGTTCAAGTGATTCTCCTACTTCAGCCTACCAAGTAGCTGGAACTCCAGGCACCTGCCAGCATGCCCAACTAATTTTTGTATTTTTAGTAGAGACAGGGTTTCACCATATTGGCCAGGCTGGTCTCGAACTCCTGACCTCATGATCCGCCTGCCTCAGCCTCCCAAAGTGCTAGGATTAGAGGCGTGAGTCACCGCACCTGGCTTCAAGGAGCATTTAATAACCAATAGCAGCAGCTGCTTCAGAGGGCTGTGGTGAGAGTGAGGGCTTCCCATGCCTGGACCTAAGGACACACATCAGCTCTGGCCATGCAGTGACCAAGTGGCGGCGACACCCACTGGACCAGGCCCTGCAGCCCTGAGCTCCTGCACCTCCCTCCCTCCTGATGACTCCTGTTCCTCCAGCCCTTGAGCATTGCCTTCTTCGTCCCCGGTCACTCTGTAATGCCTCCTGCAGGACGTGGCAACCAGTGATGCATGGGCACTCCCTGGGGGCTCAATGATGGAAAGACGCGGCATGGGGGGACCCGGCCATCAGGGATGCAGCAGGGGTGGGGCTGGGGAGAGAGGCTGTGTCACGGGCCACATTGAAGAGCCATGGTAGGACTGCTCACCTTTGAGGATGTTGAGGATGAGAGCCAGCACAGGCCCACTGAGTGGTGCGCTGGGCATGTAGAGCACTGCGTCTCCCAGGCTGATGTTCAGCGGGTGCTCGATCAGCTCAGCACGGTAGCTGTTCAGGTCCTCGGCTGTCATGATGCCCCCTGCAATGCGACAGCAGCTCACATGGGTGCAGGAATGGGGCTGCAGCAGTGGCGTTGGGGGCAGGCAGGGCTACACCATGGTGGTGGGGAAAAGCCTGCACCCTGCAGGGGAGAACAGAGTGCCCTACTGGAGGGGTGGGACTGTGCCCTGGGAGGAGGCCACAGGCAACCTCACCTCCTTGGGATCCTCACCCCCTCCTGAGCTTGTCTCCCTGACACTGCTCACCCCACAGCTGGCCCTGGGCCATCTGACCTCCACCTGCTTGGCTCACTCACTTCCTGGCTGCCTTCTCTCCTCTGTGGCCAGAGAGTTGTTTTTTTTTCTTTTTAGAGATAGGATCTTGCTGTGTCACCCAGGTTGGAGTGCAGCGGCTTAATCATAGCCTTAATCACTGCTGGACTCCAGTGATCCTCCAGCAGATCCTCCCCAGCAGCTGAGACTACAGGTGGCACAACACACTCAGCAAATTCTAACTTTTTTGTAGGGTCTTGCTCTATTTCTTTTCACTATGCTTTGAAGCTATGTTTTACGGTTCCCCACCCCCACTATATATATGAGACTCTGGTCTCAGTTTTGTTTTGTAGTTTCACTGTGCTGTGCAGGCTTGTCTTGGACTCCTGACTTAACGTCTACTTCAGCCTCCCAAAGTGGGATTACAGGCATGAGACGCCAACTTGGCCTCAGAGGGCCTTTTCTCTTTTTTTTTTTTTTTGAGATGGAGTCTCACTCTGTCGCCCAGGCTAGATTGCAGTCAGTGGTGTGATCTCAGCTCACTGCAGCCTCGGCCTCCTGGGTTAAAGCGATTCTCCTGCCTCAGCCTCTCGGTTAGCTGGGACTACAGGCACAAGCCATCATGTCCAGCTAATTTCGGATTTTTTTGTTGTTGTTGGGACAGAGTCTTGCTCTGTCGCCCAGGCTGGAGTACAGTGGCGCAATCTTGCCTCATTGAAACCTCTGCCTCCCGGGGTCAAGCCGTTCTCCTGCCTCAGCCTCTAGAATAGCTGGGACTACAGGTGCGCACGCCACCATGCCAGGCTAATTTTGTATTCTTAGTAGAGATGGGGGTTCACCATGTTGGCCAGGCTGTCCTTGAACTCCTGACCTCAGATGATCCACCCACCTTGGCCTCCCAAAGTGCTGGGATTACAGGCGTGCACCATCGTGCCCAGCTCAGAGGGTTTCTAAGGGGAGAATTCCTGCTCTGGTATCCCTGCTGCTTAGCCTCTTCTCATGATGAATGGTTAGGGAATGGGAGGGAGGGAGTCTCTTAATTTTCCCGGAGTCAACTCCAGACAGACAGGATATTGGCATGCCAGTTTCCAGCCTCAGTGGTACAGGTCAACATGCTAATCACCCTCCTCCATGAAACAGTGACAAGAATTACCTGAAGAAAGCCACATCCAAGCGCCGGACCCCTGCCCTACAAAGTCCCTTCCCCATGCCTCTAGCAAGGTGACCCTCATCCCTTGGGACCCTCCTGGTGAATCAAAGACCCCTCTCTCTGGGCCTTAGCCCAGCTGTTCCTCTGCTGGGAATCCCTTCCTCTCTGCCTAATGAAGTTATCTGCAGCCCAGCCACCTCCTTCTCCAAGAAGTCCTCCTGGATCTTCAGATTGTATTCTAGTGCTTCCCTAGCCCTGGCTCTTGCCTGCATTTACCCCACCAGGGACTTGCTCTCCTGGACTGCATGGCCTCTCTTGGCTTTGACATACCAAGAGCTATGGATTCACATGGCCAGCCACTGACCAGGAAATTCCTGCAGGCTCAGGGAGGATGGGAGGACCGCAGGGCTCTGGGCCCCAGCTGAGGGTTTCCAATGCAAGGTTCCTCACCCAGGCCCCTGAGGGTACCCACTCACCGGCCGCCTGGATGTCCTTCACAATCTGGGCCGTGAGGCTGCCGTTGTAGAAGGCCTGGGCGCCCTCGATGGCCAGCGTCTCGTAGGTGTCAGCCAGCTGCGGCAGGGTCAGTCTCTCCCCCTCCCGAAGCACCTTTCCATCCCGGCAGAACACCTCACTGGGGCAGGGGGAGCTCACGTGAGGCAGAAGGCGGGGTAGACTCAGTTAGACTGCCACCCCCACCCGACCACACGGGAACGGAAGAGAGCTGGGGCAGTGCCTATCACAGGTGGGTGGCTCCATCACTCAGCGCTCATCCTGCCAGCCTCCTAGTGGCCCTGCCACTCAGGACACATGGCCGACCACAGTGGCCACTGAGACCCCAGGCTCAGAATGCATCCCCACACATGGTGGGAAGTGTCTGTACCTCCTCATCCCATTACTTATGCAGGGTTCCGAAGGCAGAGGGCCATTCCACTGCCGCTCGGGGACCGTAGGGGCCTTGGGCTGTGGGGGCTCTGCCTGTGTCAGGGGCCACACCCACAGACATACCACAAGACAGGCTGCTTCTCTATGACGGCCCGCTTGTTTTCCAGAGCTGCCGCCAAGCCCTTGCCCACAGGGAAGCCCTGGCGGGCCAGCTGGATGCTGGGCTGGAAGAGGCGAGCCCAGGGCAGCCGCCCATGCCGCTGATGCGCCAGCTCATAGCCTCGGATCTCTCCAGGCACTGCCACCGACAGCCCCCCTGGGGAGAGAGAGCCACAGTTAGCGGCCCTGAATGACGGACATGGGAATCTCTCGAAGGCGGCATCCCAGGCACATTCCCTGACTCGTTTTACAGTTGGGGCAATGAGGTTTAGGAGGAAAGATTTTTTTTTTTTTCTGTTTTGAGATGGGGTCTTGCCATCTTGCCCAGCCTGGTCTCAAATTCCTGAACTCAAGTAATCCTCCCACCTCAGCCTCCTGAGTAGCTGAGATTACAGGCATGAACCAGCATGTCCAGCAGAAGACGGAATCTCGCTCTGTCACCAGGCTGGAGTGCAACCTCCACCAGGGAGGGTTCAAAGGATTCTCCTGCTTCAGCCTCCCAAGTAGCTGAGACTATAGGTACGAGCCACCACACCTGGCTAATTTTTGTATTTTTAGTAGAGATGGGGTTTTCATCATGTTGGCCCAGATGGTCTCGATCTCTTGACCAAGAAGGGGATTTTTAAGGTCATGTCTGGGCTCAGCAGGCAGGAGTGCACATGGATCAGGGACGTCTGATGAGGTCGCAGGAGGGGAAGCGGCAGCACGGAGGTAGGTTTTGCTGTCCCAGGATTAGGTGTCTCTCTGTGCAGGTGCCTGTATGTCTGAAATACTGTGCCAAGCCAGACCCCCTCCCGTCTCGCCGACCACAAGGCCTTATCCTGTAAGACTCATGGGCTCTACCAGAATGTGCTAAAGAAAGAGCAGGTCCCGCCCTGACCCAGTTCAAGCACAGGCCACCCTCCAGACCCGGCCAGCCCCAAGAAAGGGCACCCTTCCTCTTTTCTACTGCCCCAGAAGCAAGACCTGAGCCTTAATCTCTGTCCTGTCCCCTCTCCCATCCAATTATAAGGGTTTTTGTTTGTTTGGTTTTTTGAGATGGAGTCTCACTCTGTCACCAGGCTGGAATGCAGTGGCACAATCTCGGCTCACTTCAACCTCCACCTCCCAGGTTCAAGCGAGTCTCCTGCCTCAGCCTCCCAAGTAACTGGAATTACAAGCACATGCCACCACACCCAGCTAATTTTTGTATTTTTAGTAGATATTTTTGTGTATTCTTGTATTTTCAGTTTCACCAGGTTGGTCAGGCTGGTCTCGAACTCCTAACCTTAGGTGATCCACCCTCCTCAGCCTCCCAAAGTGCTAGGATTACAGGCATAAGCCACTGCACCTGGCGTAATCTGAAAAATTTTTTGCAGAGACATGGGTATCACTTTGTTGTCAGGCTGGTCTCAAACTCCTGGCCTCAAGCGATCCTCCCACCTCAGCCTCCCAAAGTGCTGGGATTACAGATATATCCAGCCTCTAAGGGGTTTTGCCTTCCGGTTCTGACTTTCGAGGAGGTAACTGGAAACAGACCCCTGGGCCTGCTCATCCCCGAGCCCCACTGCCCATATGGACACTACAGACACCACCCTTTGCCCAGAAAGGTACAACTATGGCCTCTACCCCCAGGTATTCTCCTGCTCTCACCAGAGATGATGGGGGCCATTTGGCTGCTCCCAGGCTTGGCGGCTACTGCCCTAGAACTACCTCTCCCACCCTGAGGCCTGGCATGTTTCCAAGAGCCAGTGGTTTCAATTCCTCGAAGCTGCACATATGTCCTGGGAGGTCTGACACCCAGCACACAGTTCCTTCCACCTTGCAGTTAGACAGCGGAAGTTCTAATGTTTGCTGACAGACCAGGGGATGATACTTAGCAACAGGATTTTATAGATTTCAAAGTAACTAGAAGAGAGGACTATGAGGCTAATACCCAGAAATAATAAATACTCAAGATGATGGAGCCCCCAAGTACCCTGTCTCGATCATTAGACACTCTATGCACGTAACAAACACTCACATATACCCATAAATATGTGAAATATTGTATCAATATCAGAAAAACGATCTTCTTCTGACCTCAAGCCAATCAGGCTCTCATGCCACCACACTGGCCAAGCTCTCCAGCGACCCCCACACTGCCAGACCCAGTGCCTCCTCTCAGCTTTGCTGGGTTCATCACTCTCCCTGCAAGCCAGCCCTGCATCCCAGCACCTGGCTCCACCCGAGTCTCCCCTGCCTGCCATCCTAGCTCCTGCTCTCTGCTCTCTCTCCTGCTGGTCTGCCTGACAACTGAGCTTCAGCCTCCATTTATGCACTAACAACTCCTGAATTTACCAGCTGGCCTGACTGCTCCTCTGATTGCCAGACCCGAGTATCTACCTGCCTACTCAAAAAAAGCATTTTAGGCCAGGCACAGTGGCTCACACTTGTAATCCCAGCACTTTGGGAGGCTGAGGTGGGCAGATCACCTGAGGTCGGGAGTTCAAGACCAGCCTGACCAACAAGGAGAAACCCCATCTCTACTAAAAAGACAAAATTAGCCAGGCATGGTGGCACATGCCTGCAATCCCAGCTACTCAGGAGGCTGAGGCAGGAGAATTGCTTGAACCCAGGAGGTGGAGGTTGCGGTGAGCTGAGATTGCACCACTGCACTTCAGCCTGGGCAACAAGAGTAAAACCATCTCAAAAAAGAAAAGGAAAAAAAAGGAAAGGAAAGGGAAAGGAAAGGGGCATCTCAAACATAAATGTGTCCAAAACCGAGCTCCTGAGTGTCCACTCAGACCTGCTTCCTGAGAGCCCTGACTGTCTCCATTAGGGTCACCCCATCAATCCATGTACAGATAAAAGATCTGGGGTCCTCTGGGACTCCCTACACAAGCATCACACCCAATCTGTCCTCGAATCCACAGGCTCCACTTCCAAGTGTGTCCATCCAGCATCGGCCACTTCCCACCACCGTCTCCACGCATTACTGCAGTGACCTCTGGACAGGTCCTAGCATGCTCTCTGCCCCTTACACAGCAAGCCAAGGGGTCCATAGGCCAGATCCATCCCCCTCCACTCACATACTCCACGGGCCCCACTTCCCTCAGATGAGCGGCAGGGTTTCACCAAGACCTAAGACATCCCACACAACCTGGGCGGTTACTCTCAGCCTCCCCAGCTCCCCACAGGGCTCTGTCCCTGCCCATCACATCTGGATCACTAGGTCTTCCCCCCAGACACTGTACAGCTCCCCTGACCCCATTTCTGCCTCTGTGTCTTTGCTCAGATGTCCCCTTCCCTGATTAGGTCACCCTTCATAGAGTCCCACATCTTGAGGCACTCCAGATCTGTTTTGTTTTGTTTTGTTTTGTTTTGTTTTTGAGGTGGAGTCTTGCTTTGTCTCCTAGGCTGGAGTGCAGTGGAGCAATCTCAGCTCACTGCAACCTCCTCCTCCCAGATTCAAGTAATTCTCCTGCCTCAGCCTCCTGAGTGGCTGGGATTACAGGTGTGCACCACCACGCCCAGCTAATTTTTTGTATCTTTAGTAGAGACAGGTTTTCACCATGTTGGCCAGGTGGTTTTGAACTCCTGACTTTGTGATCTGCCCACCTCAGCCTCCCAAAGTGCTGGGATTACAGGCATGCGCCACCACACCTGGTCCCAGCTAATTTTTTGTATTTTTAGTAGAGATGGGGTTTCACCATTTTGGGCAGGCTGGTCTCGAACTCCTGACTTCGTGATCCACCTGCCTCAGCCTCCCAAAGTGCGTAAGGCAGCATGCCCGGGAAGGTCTGCTTTTCCACAGCCCGTAGCACACCCCAACCTGCCTAGTTTCTCCTCCCACCTGGAGTGTCACAGATTTCATCTGCCGTCTTTGTTTTTCACTCTAGCTTCAGGAACAGCACCTGATGCTTTAAGAGACGCTCAGTATGTTCTAGTTACAGAAATGATTCTGTGTCCACAAGGTGCCAAACATATGATTCCCTCAATTTCTCTTACCCTGAGCATCTTCATGTCTACAGATGCTGAGTTTCTCAATGAGCATTAAAAAAAAAAAATCAAAGACTGAGTATGTTGCAGAGGACTCCAAGGGGCACCACCCAGGACCCCCACCTGAGGTGTAAGACTTGCTATGGTGACTGTGCCCTGCCCCTCCATCCTCCAACTTTTTTTTTTTTTTGAGACGAAGTTTCGCTCTTGTTGCCCAGGCTGGAGTGCACTGGTGTGATCTCGGCTCACTCACTGCAACATCCACCTCCTGGGTTCAAGCAATTTTCCTGCCTCAGCCTCTCAAGTAGCTGGGATTACAGGTACATGCCACCATGCCCAGCTAATTGTTGTATTTTTAGTTGAGACAGGGTTTCCCTATGTTGGCCCAGGCTGGTCATGAACTCCTGACTCCAAGTGATCCACCCACCTCAGCCTCCCAATTTGCTGGGATTACAGACATGAACCACCCTGCCAGCCATTTTTTTTTTTTTTTAAGACAGGGTCTTGCTTTGTTGCCCAAGCTACAGTGTAGTGATACAATCATGGCTCACTGCAGCCTCAACCTCCTGGGCTCAAGTGATCCTCCCACCTCAGCCTCCCGAGTAGCTGGGACCACCATGCCTGGCTAATTTTTTTTCCCATTTTTTATAGAGACGGAGACTTGCTATGTTGCCAGGCCAGTCTCAAACTCCTGGGCTCATGGGATCCTCCTGACTTGGCCTCGCAAAGTGCTAGGATTACAGGAGTGAGCTGTTGAGCCCATCCATCCTCCAACCTTTATCCCACAATCCATTCTGCCTCCTTTGAGCTGTGCCCTGGGTAGACAGTGGCTTCCCTTCAGGTACCTGGGGAATTTGGGGGCCTCCTCTCCACTAAGACCAGATTAGAAAAGAGAGACTCTGGCCGGGTTCGGTGGCTCACATCTGTAATCCCAGCACTTTGGGAGGCTGAGGCAGGCAGATCATGAGGTCAAGAGATTGAGACCATCCTGGCCAACATGGTGAAACCCCGTCTCTACTAAAAATAGAAAATTATGGGAGGCCAAGGTGGGTGGATCACGAGGTCAAGAGATCGAGACCATCCTGGTCAACAAGGTGAAACCTTGTCTCTACTAAAAATACAAAAATTAGCTGGGCATGGTGGCGCACGCCTGTAGTCCCAGCTACTCGGGAGGCTGAGGCAGGAGAATTGAACTCAGGAGGCAGAGGTTGTGGTGAGCGGAGATCGCGCCATTGCACTCCAGCCTGGTAACAAGAGCGAAACTCCAGCTCAAAAAAATACAAAAAACAAAAAAAAAATTAGCCTGGCATAGTGGTGCACACCTGTAATCCCAGCTACTCGGGAGGTTGAGGCAGGAGAATTGCTTGAACCCAGGAGGCAGAGGTTGCGGTGAGCCGAGATTGTGCCATTGCACTTCAGCCTGAGTAACAGGAGCGAAACTCCATCTCAAAACAAAAAACAAAAACCAAAAATATATATATAAATTAGCCAGATGTGGTGGTGCACACCTGTAGTTCCAGCTACTCAGGAGGCTGAGGCAGGAGAATCGCTTGAACCTGGGAAGCAGAGGTTGCCATGAACCAAGATCATGTCACTGCACTCCAGCCTAGCAACAGAGCAAGACTCCGTCTCAAAAAAAAAGAGAGAAATTCCACTTCACACCTCACACTCTAGAATGCTATCCCCACACCTCACACCTCATGCTCTAGAGTGCTATCCCCACACCTCACACCTCATGCTCTAGAGTGCTATCCCCACAAATGAACAAATGAATGAACTGAATAGGATGCCCGTTAAAAAGGCAGGGTATAGAGAGCCTGGGTTCAGTTTTAGCTTCCACCTACCAGCTGTGTGACCTCAGCTGATTTGCATGACCTCTCTGGGCCTCAGCATCCCCATGTGTAAAATAGGAATCCACACAGCATCCCCCACCCCAAAGGAGCAGGGAAGGGTATGAGGCGCTCATGGGTGAAAAGCATGGAACAGAGTGTGGGCCCCAGTGAGCCCTGGTCCATGAGGGCTGTTAGTGTAATAATTATTCTCTTCATGTGCTGCACAGGGTGGCCAGGCCTTGGGAGAAATAACAGAAGCTCCCAGTCCTTGACTCTGGTGATGATGGTCCTGACAACTCATTGTGGGAGGGTGCTATGGAGCCAGGAAGGGATGAGGGGTGCTAGAACTGCCCTTGGACCCTGACAAGGCCAGGCTCTGGTGAGCAAGGCCCCTGCCCCTTGGTTCGGGCAGCTCTGCACCCACGCCCCAAGCCTGCAGGCGGCTTACCCTCCTGGGACTGTTCGGAGCTGTTGAACATGGTAGGAAAGGCCAGCCTGGGGGCCACCTCGCGGGCATTGATGACCTCAGCTTTTCCTAGAAGGAGAAGCAGGTAGGCAGGCAGACTCACCCAAACCTTCCATGCCGCATGAGCCCAAGGGTCCCCCCAGCTGTGCCTCTGCCCAACCCATACCCCCGACCCCTCTCCCTCACCCCTCCCAGAAGTACTCACGAGTGCTGCTGCTGTAGATGGTAAGGGACAGGCCGCCCCCAATGCCCATGCTGTGGGCGTTCATGAGCCCTAAGCACAACAGGGCGGCAATGGCTGCGTCCACCGCAGAGCCGCCGTCCCGCAGTGCGTCCCTGCCATATGGTACATGAAGGGGTGAGAACCTGCAGGCTTCCATCCTGGCCCTGCTTACACACCCTGCCGCCCATCTCCCCAAAGGAGGATGGAAGAGAAGTCCATTTGAGTTTTCAGATTTCTGTTTTATTTTCTTTTGAGACAGAGTCTTGCTCTGTTGCCCAGGCAGGAGTGCAGTGGTGTGATCTCAGATCACTGCAGCCTCAACCTCCTGGACCCAACTGACCCTCCCACCTCAGTTTCCCAAGCATCTGGGACTATGGGGACATGCCACCACACGTGGAAAATTTTTTGTTTGTTTTGTTTTTTTGAGACAGAGTCTCGCACTGTCGCCCAGGCTGGAGTGCAATGGCATGATCTCAGATCACTGTAACCTCCACTTCCCAGGTTCATGTAATTCTCCTGCCTCAGCCTCTCAAGTAACTGTGATTACAGGTGCATACCACCATACCTGGCTAATTTATTATATTTTTTAGTAGAGATGGGATTTCACTATGTTGGCCAGATTGGTCTCGAACTCCTGACCTTGTGATATGCCCACCTCAGCTTCCCAAAGTGCTGGGTTTACAGACATGAGCCACTGTGCCTGGCTGTTCTGTTTTTTTTTTTTCTTTTTGTAGAGATGGGGTTTTGCCATGTTGCCCAGGCTGTCCAAGAACTCCTGGGCTCAAGTGATCCCCACCTTGGCCTCCCAAAGTGCTGGGATTACAAGTGTGAGCCACTGTGCCTGGCCTTTGTTTTATGAGACAGGGTCTCACTTTGTCACCGAGGATGAAGTGCAGTGGCACGGTCACGGCTCAATGAAGCCTTGACCTCCTGGGTTCAAGCAATCCTCCCACTTCAGCCTCCTGAGTAGCTGGGACTATAGGTATGAACCACCACACTTGGCAATTTTTTGTCTTTTTTGTAGAGACAGGGTCTCCCTATGTTGCCCAGGTTGGTCTCGAACTCATGGGCTCAAGCAATTTTCCCGCCTCAACCTCCCAAAGTAGTGGGATCACAGTTTTCCTCTTTTTCTTTTTTTTTTTCTGAGACGGAGTTTCACTCAGTTGCCGCCTTGGCCTCCCAAAGTGCTGGGATTACAGGGTGAACCACTGCACCCAGCCAGTTTCCTCTTTTTCTTTTTTGTTTTTGAGACGGAGTTTCGCTCTTGTTGCCCAGGCTGGAGTGCAATGGTGTAATTGCGGCTCACAGCAACCTCCACCTCCCAGGTTCAAGTGATTCTCCTGCCTCAGCCTCCCATGTACATGGAATTACAGGCATGCACCACCACGCCCAGCTAATTTTTTGTTTTCAGTAGAGACAGAGGTTTTCCATGCTGGTCAGGCTGGTCTCGAACTTCCAACCTCAGGTGATCCACCACCTCGGCCTCCCAAAGTGCTGGAATTACAGGCATGAGCCACTGTGCCCAGCCAGTAGCTTAGTTTCCTCTTTTTCAAGCAAACAAATGTATATGACTTTTATAATTGGGACAAAAATGGAAACTGTTATATTTTATTAATAACTTTTTTTCTGGCTGGGGATGGTGGCTTACACCTGTAATCTCAGCACTTTGGGAGGCCAAGGTGGAGGATCACTTGAGGGCAGGAGTTCAAGACCAGAAGTTCAAGACCCGAGCAATATAATGAGACCTCATCTCTACACAACAGTCTTTTTAAATTAGTCAGGTGTGATGCACACCTGTAGTCTTCGCTACTCAGGAGGCTGAAGTGGAAGGATCGCTTGAGCCCAAGAGTTCAAGGCTGCAGTGAGCTATGATCACGCCACTGCACTCCAGCCTGGGCAACAGAACAAGACCCTGTCTCAAAAAAGCAAAAACATAACATTTTTTCTGTTTAAGTCTTTAAGAGGGAACTGATCTTTGCATATAACATGAAATGAGTCTAAAAGAATAAAACAGTAGAGACCACAGCTCACACCTCTAATCCCAGTTCTTTAGGAAGCTGAGGCAGGAGGATCACTTAAACCCAAGAGTTTGAGGCTGCAGTGGGCTATGATCACTACCCTATACTCCAGCCTGGGTGACAGAGTAAGGCCCCACTTTTAAAAAGAGAAATAAGCTGGGCACAATGGCTCACACTTGTAATCCCAGCACTTTGGGAGGCTGAGATGGGTGGATCAGCTGAGGTCAAGAGTTCAAGACCTGCCTGGCCAACAAGGTGAAACCCTATCTCTATTAAAAACACAAAAATTAGGCCAGGCATGGTGGCTCACGCCTGTTATCCCAGCACTTTGGGAAGCCGAGGTGGGTGAATCACAAGGTCAGGAGTTCAAGACGAGCCTGGCCAACATAATGAAACCCCATCTCCACTAAAAATACAAAAATTAGCGGGGCGAGGTGGTACATGCCTGTAGTCCCAGCTACTCGGGAGACTGAGGCAGGAGAATCACTTGAACCTGGGAGGTGGAGGTTGCAGTGAGCCAAGATCGTACCACTACACCCCAGCCTGGGTGACAAGGCAAGACTCTGTCTCAGAAAACACACACACACACACAAAAATTAGCTGGGTGTAGTGGCACACACCTGTAATCCCAGCTACTTGGGAGACTGAGGCATGAGAATCGCTTGAACTTGGGAGACGGAGGTTGCAGTGGACTGAGATTGCGCCACTGCACTCCAGCCTGGGCGACAGAGCGAGACTCTGTCTGAAAATAAATAAATAATAAAAATAAAAAGCAAAAAAAGTAACAACCAAACCACAAAACAGTGGAGTTTATCTAAAGAGACAGAAACTCTTAAAACTGAGAAAAGGGTCCCTGCTGGACTCTAGGAGACCCACATCCTGCTCTCGGGGTCACCATCCCCTTCCTAGAGCATACTGAGAGCCCAAGCAAAGAACAGGTAGCTCTATGCACATGGGACACCCTATGTCCAGGCAGCCTGCTTACATGTGGGGAAACAGAGTCTCAGAGGAGCAAAAGTATTGCCCAGGTTGGCTTGCCCAGTTTCCAGGGCCCATGCCCCCATGCCCTGTCCCGCTCACCTCCCAATCTCCGAGCAGCGCTTGGCATCCGCAGCCACGGCAGCCCTAGAGTACACGTGGTTGGCAGGTTCCTTGGAGGTGGAGGGCAGCCAGAGACAGAGGCCAATAATGACCAGCACCAGGACCACGGCCAGCAGGCCCAGCACCACTAACTGCTTCTTCATGGCTCTGCTACACCCACGGGGTAAGGAGCAGGGTCAGGCCTGGCCTCAGGCACTCCCTGGCCCCTCCCTAACAGGGCACAGTCTAACGTAGGGCCTCAGAAACACAAGCCCTGTGTCTCCTTCCCGCCTCCCAGAACACGTGCAGGCCGTCCGGCCCCCAGACCTTTGCCCAGGCCATGCGTTCTGCCAGGAGCTCCGGGCCTCATCACTGCCCTCCCAAATCCTCCCTGCTTATCTTCAGAGCCCATCCTGGTAAGACCCCCATCTCCAGCAGGGGCCCTTCCTGGGAGCCCCCAGACCTCCACACCCCTCTTTCTGCAAGGCCTTGCCTACCTCCTCACAGTGCTAAGCTTCACTGCTTAGCGAGAAGCTCCCGTAAGGACAGGCCTGGCCTGGTTTCTCCTGTGTCCCCCACCTCAGCCCAGAGCCTGGCACTGTCCAGGAGCCCCTGAGAGCCCTTCACTCCACCTGGAGCATGGGGTTCAGCTTCCATAGTGCCCACAATGGGAGCACCCCACAGTCTTCCCCTGAAATCAGCAGATTTGCAGCCACAGGGCCAGGACTTACCATCCACCAGCAGACGGGGCCCCTGCCTTGCCTGAGGAGTTGGCCACAAAAGAAGGAAGGATTTGGTGGAAACAGCTGAGGATATCACTGGGTCTCCCTCACACTCTGCAGGAGCCTGTAGTCACAGAATCTTCTTCAGAGACTCACTGGTCAGGCAGCCTTCTCGTTCTCCTGAAGATCAAGGGTGGTTACCAGAAGCATGAGTAGCCCAGTCCTTTCTGGGGGACTCGATGTGACCTCCTTCTGCCTTTCTCAGCCTCCAGTGGAAGTCTGGAGACAAAGAGTCTATCAGTAACACACTTGTTTCCAAGAATTCTCCCAGCATGTTTCCCAGGCACAGCCCAAAGAGGGTTCTATACAGGGAAGGGCAGAGAGGGGACAGGGCATTCCTGCACAAGCCCAGGATGTGCATGTGGTGAGCATGGCAAAGGGGGCCCAGGGGGCAGAGCCAGCCTTCCCTGCTCTGAGGCTGGACTTGCCACTCACCTGCCGTGGGGCCTCAGGCAAATAACTTAACGGTCCAGCCTGGCTGACAGTAGCACCTCGCTTGCCTTGCTGCTAGGAGAGTTGTGAATAGGGTAGGTTAAACTACGGGAAGGGCTCGGTGAATGGTGGCTGCAAATATCATCATGGCTGCACTGGGGACACCCCAGGAGGCCTGAGTGGCACAAGTCTCCTGCTGCCTGATATGTCCCCTGTGGACCCATTCTGGGCTGTGCAGTGAGGGATGGCAGTGACCCTTGCGAAGTCTCATGGCTGTGGCAGTAGGTGACAGGTATTACCCCAACAGGGAAGAGGGATGTGGTGACAGAGGTGGGGGTTCCCTCTCCCACACTCAGTTCCCCACAAAGGGCAGTGTCTGCCAGCAAACCCCTCCAATGAGCCCCAAGCTGGGCTCCCTCTGTCTGCTCCATCCTGTCCCAGTGCAGCCTGTCTGGATCTTGGAGCCAGACACAGTGTCCCAGAGGTGGTCTAGGAATGGAGTCCCTGTGCCCTCCTTACACAGGGGACATCCAAACACCATCATGGAAGGGCATTCCCTTCCCCAGGCTTGGTGGGCATGGGGCCAATAGTGTGACACTTTTTTTTTTGAGATAGTCTCATTCTTTCGCCTAGGCTGCAGTGCAGTGGCACAATCTCAGCTCAATGTAACCTCCGCCTTCTGGATTCAAGCAATTCTCCTGCCTCAGCCTCCTGAGTAGCTGGGACTACAGGGGTGCACCACTATGCCTGGCTAATTTTTGTATTTTTATAGAGATGGGGTTTCACCATGTTGGCCAGGATGGTCTCCATCTCCTGACCTCGTGGTCTGCCCACCTCAGCCTTCCAAAGTGCTGGGATTACAAATATGAGCCACTGCTCCCAGCTGTGTGATACATTTGACTCCTCCCAGCCCTGGACGCAGACACCAAGAGCAGAGGGGCCTGGCAGTGGCCATGTGGCAGCCCACCACCCACATCCCCCACAGAGTCCAAAGCAGCCCATCATCCCCACCCTGGCCACCATAGCCTGAATCCAGGCACCACCTGTTTCTGACCTGAACTCCCTGCCAGCCCCTGCCTGCACTCCATCCTTCCAACAGCACCTGCCCTTCAGTCTCCCAGAAAGTAGCTAGAGGGCTCTGTTTGTCCCACTGTGGAACAGGCCCTGTCTCCTCCATGCTCACACCCTTCGCCAGGCCTGACAGCCCTCTGGCCACCAAACACCCTGGGTCCCAGCAGGGAGTCCAGGTCAGGGTTAAGGGTTCCTGACAGAGACAGCCATACCTAGAGGTTCAAGGGGCCTCAGGAGCTGGGCAGGCAATGTGCAGCATCCATTATGGATACAGAACATTCCATCACAGGGCTGAGTGTGGTGGCTCACACCTGTAATTCCAGCACTTTGGGAGGCCAAGGCAGGTGGATCACCTGAGGTCAGGGGTTCGAGATCAGCCTGGCCAACATGGTGAAACCCCCGTCTCTACTAAAAACACAAAAAATTAGCTAGGCATGGTGGCACATGCCTGTAAATCCCAGCTACTCAGGAGCTGAGGCAGGAGAATCGCTTGAAACCAGGAGGCGGAGGATGCAGTGAGCTGAGATTACACCACTGCACTCCAGCCTGGGCAACAAGAGTGAAACTCCAGGTCAGGCACAGTGGCTACTGGCTCACGCCTGTAATCCCAGCACTTTGGGAGGCCAAGGCAGGCAGATCACAAGCTCAGGAGTTCAAGACCAGCCTGACCAATATGGTGAAACCCCATCTTTAGTGAAAGTACAAAAAAAAATTAGCTGAGCGTCGTGGCATGCACCTGTAATCCCAGCTACTCAGGAGGCTGAGGCAGGAGAATCGCTTGAACCCAGGAGGCAGAGGTTGCAGTGAGCTGAGATTGCACCACTGCACTCCAGCCTGGGTGACAGAGCGAGACTGTCTCAAAAAAAAAAAAAAAAGATTAAAACTCCATCTCAAAAAATAAAAAAGGAAAAACCAAAAACAGAAAAAAAGAACATTCCCATCACATGTCATGAGGCAGGGGCCTGGCCTGGTCGGTGCCCCTATCCTAGCACCACAGCCCCCTCTACCAAGGAAGCTCCCCAGTCCCATCCACTGGGCCGGGTCATGCCCTGGAGGGCATGACCTCATCTCTCCCAGGCTTGGGGTCATGAGCCAAGCCCCCCAACAGGACCATGGGGTGGGCCAACCGTAACCCAGCCTCCCCGGTCTGTTAATCTGTCTACCCAAAGGCCCAAGTACGCTCCTCGAGAAGCAGGGTGCACCCAGCCAGGATCGGACTGCTGGGAATTGTGGGGAGGGGAGTAGGCAGTGCTGGGCCCTGTTGCCTCCTCCCGCGGCATGTCAGCAAGGGAGGGTGGGCCCAGCCTCCCACAGGCAGATGTCGCCAGCCCAGAGGAAGACCCCCTGCTGAGGTCCTGGATTTCCATTTCCCATCCCTCCACCCCTAAGTTCTCTCCAGACTCACTGAAAGAATGTCCAAGCCAACCCACAGTGTGAGAGCGGCACACACAAGGGGAAACTGAGGCTAGAAAGTGGTTCAGATGCCATGGTTGGCCTCAAACCCAGACCCCCTTCCTTGTGACCCTGATGGGCTTACCTGAGGCCTGGGACAGTGAGAATCCAGGAGAACACCTCTTTCTCGGAAGACAGTTCTGGGCTGTACCCTCTGGGGAGGAAGAGACAGGCTTGTCAGCCTGGGAAAGTCCCGGCCACAGAATTGGTCAAGCCCCCCCCCCCCCCCCCCCCCCCCCCCCCGCTCTCCAGAGCGGCTCAGAGCCACGCCTGCGGCCCCCTGCAGAGCTCCTCAGGGGGCCTCCCAACTGAGACTGGGATCTGGGGGTGGGCACCTCCAAGGAGGAGCTGAGGCAGGGAAGGAGCAGGAGCAACTAGAGAACCCATGAGCTTACCTAGTCCCAGAGGGGGCAACAGGCCAGCAAGGGAATGCACAGCAGCCCTGGGGGACAGTGGAAGGCGTCTGCACAGGGTGCAGGACAGATAGGCCTCTCCCAGAGGTCCAGCCTGGCTGGGAGGACGGGGGAGGCTGACGTCACAGCAGCAAGGAGGCTCACAGTGACTTGGCATGGTCACTCGGCCTGTCACCAGGTGACTAAAGTTCATGCAGCCCTGGGAAGGTCCCAGGTGGGAGGTGCTGTGGTGGGGTCGGGGGGGTGGGGGGAAAGGGGTTCCCCCCTCCCAGACTCAGTTCCCTGCAAAGGGCGCTGTCTGCCCACAAGCCTCTCTAGTAAGCCCCAGCCTGGGTCCCCCTCTGGCTCTCCCTGTCCCTGTTCAGAACATCTGAACTCACAGCCAATGTCCCAGAGATGGCTCTGGAGGCAGTGGAGTAGCGGTGGCCCTGTCACCAGACCAGAACCCAGCCTAAGGGGCCTCACCACACCCTGCTGTCAATGCCAAAGAGGTGTCTGAGAATATGGCCTGAGGCCCTGAGTGCATACCCATTCTGCTGCACATCCAGAAACATCAGCCCGCAGGCCCAAGGAACTACCTGAACAGCCCACAGAGGCAGGGCCCAGAGAGGGCCTGAGCTGGCCCAAGCTCACGCAGCCCAGCAGTGTAGGCTTGACTACTTGGTAACTACTCCAAGTTACTGCATGTCTCTGACCAGCCCAAGAAACAGGAACAGCTGCGGGCCCAGCCCAGGGGACCTTGCACACTGCTGTCCATTCCCCTGTGGCCCTCATCTGCGAGGATATGGGCCAGAGGCTCCCCAAGTCATGGCTCCCTCCCCTGCTCCTGGGCCTACTGTGCCTGCAGTGGTGGAGAGCCCCTGCAGCCTCCACCTGAGGGCTATTCTGTGCCCATAACACCTGCCCCACAATCATGCTTCCAGGCTGCCCCAGCTGACAGAAGGGGACATGAAGGCTGACCCAATGTTGCTGCCTGCCTGGGTCACACAGCCAGCATAGGCCTGTCCTGTCACCTGCTGCTCTCAAATGGACTCTGGACAGAAACCACCAGGCACACAACTGTGAGATCCTCAATAGCCCTAGGGTGGAGGTGCTATGACCCAGCCCTTTCCCTGGGCACCCCTCCCTGTGGAGATCAGGGTGACTGGGAAGATGACAGGGCAGGAACCAAGGCCCTGCGACCTGTCCCGAAGGCTAGACAGCAGACAGGAACATCAGGGGATCTGGCCCTGCCTTAGTGGCTGCATTCCACGGCAGTCAGCTGGGAGGGGTGTAGAGTGGAGAGCCACAGGGCTCTGTCCTCTGCCCTGGCCTGCTCAGCAGTTTCCTCTCTGCCTAAGAGCATACAAGACCTGTAGTGTTCACAGCAGCAGGTGGGCAGGAAGACATCTGAGTGGGCAAGGGATGGCCCAGACCCCCGCAGCTGACCCCAGAAGGAAAACCCTGGCTGGAGAAACTAGGAAGACAGGGCTGCCTGCAGTGAGACACACATGAAGTCTGGAAGCAGCTGTGGATTCCAGAGAGGGGGGACAGGACGGGAGGCACTTTATCAAAGGCCATATCAACAGAGATAGGACCTACAGAATGAAGGAGGCTTTTCCTCACATGCTGAGTGTGTCACATTCTAGCCCAGTCAGCCCTTCCTGAATGCGGAGAGGGCACCTCGTGGGGAGTGGGTCTGGGGAAGCCATGTCACCTGAGGAAAGACTGCAGGGGCTGGCCTAGAAGTCTTCTCCAGACCCCACAGCTCTTGTCCTGGGCACATAGGGTAGTGAGTTCCCTGTCCCCAGAAATATGCAAGCCTCACTCACTCAGAGACACTGACTCTGATGTCAGTACCACCCACTTCAAACACATGTGCAGGCACATACACACACACACAGCTGAGCCGAATCGAGGCTGAGCAGAGCAGCTCTGCAGGGCGCAGCAGAGAGGGGCATATGAAGAGGTAGTACTGCAGCCAGTCTGAAGCTTGCCAGTTAATCCTCCAACCCAGCTCGATGGCTTTGTCACTACAACCCCAGAGCCACAAGGGTGAAACCAGAGCACAGCCCCAACCCATTCACAGGCAGGAAACAAGCTTAGACAAAAGATATTTACCAATGTCAGCTGGCCCCAGAAGATTGCAGACCTGCAGGTGAGCCCGAGACCCACCACTCCCAAAACTGCCAGTCTCTAGCATGGAATCACTATCCCTGGGTATGAGAACGCACAGATCTCTGCGGCTTCCCCAGGCCCGTGTGTATCCCTGGACCAGACGCTTACTGACCAGACCTGGGGTTGGAATCCGTCTCCCACACTGTTCACCCTTGCGGCACAGAGTTGAGAATTAGAAAAAAGCACCCCTTCAGTAAGATATAATAGCCACTACCTGCCGGAAAACATCGGAAGAACTCTATAGCTCTCTATATAAATAGCTGAGAGATGGCGGATGCCCCCTGGAGTTGGGCAATGACCCCTTGCACAACCCACCCTGCTCCACCGCAATCTACAGCCACAGAGCCCAGGAGTGGGGCAAGCATGGCCCAAGGACACAGTGTCCCCCAACCCCTCGCAGCTCTGGCTCTCTACTCCAGAGCTGACCCCCACCCCCACTCAGGGCTGCCAGATCCTCCCAGACCTCAGTTTCTCCATGCTGCACTCTTCTCCCTTAATTCCAAGAAGCCACGCCTCTCTCAAGGGCTTCTTCACCTAAGTCAGGTGACTGCCCCAGCCCTCCTTCACCCACCCGCATACCTCTCTCAAACCCACTTATCAGCCAAGAAATAGAGGCCCCCAGTCCAGACCCAGTCGGATAAAGAACCCAGGGCTCTGCCCACCTGTGAGATCTTCCTGCAGGATGTGCCCACACGAGTCTTGCCTCCTTCACCCTAAAGTGCAACTCGCTCCCACTGCACAGGCACACAGACCGAGGCTCGGAGAGGAAGAGAAACTCCTCTAGGGCACAGCAAGCATATGGCAGAGCTGGGAATGGAACTCAGGCCTCCAGACACTCCTGGGAGTCCCCTGGTCTGAGCTTCCCCACCTATGATGTCCAGCAGCTCAGAGAGGGTGAGTGGTGCCTCTGGGTCACACAGCGCTGGGGCACAGCCAGAGGCCCTCACTCCCTGGCTCACGTGACTCCTGGGCGGGTCGTCCCTCAACACACCAAAACCTAGCTAAGATTTCCAGCTGTGACCCAGCTCCTCCCCTCTCCCTCGCTCAAGAGGCCTGGGGGCAGGGGGAGGGGAAGGCTTTAAAGGCACAGGAACTGCTCCAGGTGGGACAAGGGCTGGCTCCTGGTCCCATCCCTGGGGCTGTGTGATCTGGGACGGCTGCAGGTCTCTCTGAGCCAGGTGGGGTCTCAAACCCTGAATGAGAGACCTGAGCTCTGAAGGCCTCGGTGGGGCTGAATAAGGCCGGGATTCAGCGGGAGGCAGATTAGACTAAAGGTTCCCTGGGAGATAGGGCCACAGAGCTGGGGTGCAGCCAGATGCCCATGTCAGGAGGGGCTGGAGTTGTAGGCATCTGAGGCCCCGCAAGGTCTGAGGAGCCTAGATTACCTCTACAACCCCAGGGCAGGGGAGGCCTCTCCTAACAGGCCCTCTCCCCAACTTTCAGGGCTATAGGTGGGGCCTTAGGGGCTGTCACTCCAAGGACGCTTGTCACCTGGACTGAAGGGAGTCACATGATTCAGAAGGGTCCTTCCTCAACCCCCAATTTCAGGGGTCTGAGCAGGCAGGCTGACAGAGGACCCCAGGCAGTGGAAGCAGGGGGATGAGGCCCTTCCATCCATCATGCCCTCACCTGCTCTGGCACATTCAACGAGATGGGGTGGGTGCCCCCACAGGGCTGGCAGGCCCAAGCCTCTCAGCCCTCAGATTGAGGTCCACACATGGTCTCATTCTGCCAGAATTGTCACTCTTAGCAAGGCACACACTTAAATTCATTATTTTATTCCATCATTCATTGTCCCATCTAATCCTGGCCCCTCCAGATTCTTCTCTCAAGGAGCCCTGACCTGGCTGGGCATGAGACAGTATTGTCAGCCTAGCGGGGAGAGCCCTAGTGGGGGGCAGGTACCAGAATAGGGGCCTTGGGAATCCAGCCTAAGCTGGGATTGGATTTGGGGAGGACCTGCTAGGTTGAAAGAACCACCTGAGCCTGAGGGCCAGGAACTGGAGGCTTTTCCAGGCGGTGAGGGCTACAGGGGACCTCTTGACCACCCTAAGCCCTCACTAAGCCCTGAGGTGTCAAGGCTGGAAAAGGAGGTGGCTGAGCTAAGTCCTTCAAGGCCAGGTCAGTCTGGACTTTGAGAGCCCTGGGAGGCTGGTGAATATGTCACTGGATCCAGTAACCATTAACCTTGGCTCACTCATTAAGACCCTGGTGGGTGTCCATTAGCTCCTTGGCCGGTTCCAGGATCTGGGCAGAGGGCAGGGGTCCTGGGAAGAAGGGAGTGCTGATTGGGGTGTGAGGTGGAGGCTGGCTGAGCTGGCTCTCTGTGTTCTTGTTCCCTGAGAAGGGTTCCAGGGCCAAGCTGGCTTCCAGCCAGGGGCAGCTGCCAACACAGCCCGGGGCAGGTGCCACCCTACCATCCCAGTGACTTTCATCTCCTTATCACCCCTGTGTGCTGGCACCAGCAGCCCACAGTGCCTCGGGGCCTTGGCCAGACAGGAGGCTCAAAGGGATAGTCCAGCACCTGGCTCAGCATCCACCCAGACTGCCCCTCTGAGAAATGAGCCCACCATGGCCTCCAAAG